ATTCCCGATATTTTCGAGTATCCTGAGATTTTCCCATGTTTTCAACTCTTCCTGTCGAAGTTCTGCTCGATTCTTCTCTCGACTACTTCAAATCAACCACTTCAATCATGTGAGTTCATACCCCTATAATCCACACTTTTAAATGTTTTATAAATGCTTTTATATGCTTTTAAGGGGGGAATACAAGTAAAACACACGATTATTATCGTGTGTTATATAAAGTTTCATTATACGCTTTTTATCAACGGAATCATATGTGATTTATAACTATTATAGGGAAACTTTCGTATGCAAAATATATCACGATAACATCATATCTTTTGAAATGAAAAATGTTGTTATATATGTATAAATCAAACACTCTGCTTATACTGTATGTATATGTGTCCATCTTAGGCACTACAAAATTATACTTTTCATAACAAGTGAGCATTTCACTAGGGATTACTATACAAACGAGACACACTTTTAGAAAACTATAATAGGTATAGTTTTACGAGAACATCACGAACTTTTACATACTAGAAATACTATTTCAAGGAGATACATTCATATACAAGAACAAACGAATATTTTCATAGGTACTTCAAATAGTTTTCACAAACGTTTTTACATGTTGAAACACTTTTAGAAACTGTCTTACAAACTGTAGGTTTCCTTTTCGAATCCGTTATAGTTGTGCTTCAAAACAAGGTTTTCTCACACTTAAACTGTCTTGTCAAACGGTTTTCGAATCGATTTATAAACTGACATCAAGTCATAAATTCTTATTTATTAAACTTTTCAAAGGTTTTACAAAACTTCTTTTATGCTTTTATATTATAAATTGCATGCCTCTATATGTATAGTTATATAAGAAATGTTTAAAAGACTTAGGAAGGCTATCCACCCTATTTCCTTTTCCTCGATTTGGATGTGGTCTGGTGGGATATCGGGTACTCGTCCGAAGGTCGTTTAAATTTTAGTTATATATCATGTGTACATATATAGTCATAAATGTTCCATCAATTAATTCAGTTCCGACACTCTTGGGTAGCAAGGGTGTACAAAGCTACTTGGACACTCATCAATTACATTCTAGTAAACTATTATAGGAATAGTTTAGGGGATACAAAACATTATCCCTATTACAAGAAATTACACCAGAGTCAGTTCATTCATGAGTCTAAACTACATGCTATATGAAGGGATACTCTTACAGAGATTCCTCTTACATGGATACACTTATATGGATACTCTTACAGATATTCCTCTTACATGGATACACTTATAGGGATACTTTTACATAGATACTATGTGGTAAGAAACAATAAGGGACTAACCATTCCTAAACCCGGCTGTTAGCAACAGAGGTAAATGGGCATCTACGGATGTCTACGGTTAATACTTATACTAGGGAGACCTTTACGGGACTAACCATTCCTTCAACCTGCTGTTAGCTACAGAGGAAAATGAACATCTACGGATATTCAAGGTGAATAGGTTTCGGCAGTCGCGATGTTGTGTTTATCCTAATAAAAAAGGATAATACTTATATGGCTATATTTTCCGTATTACTTTTATTTTGTGATACATTCACGTAAACGATGAAGTAGACTATATATATTGTTAATAGTAGTCATAAAGGGGGAAAACCATCTTTGTTACAGCAAAACATACAAGTCTTGGTAGAAGACTACTTTCAAAACAGTCAGGTTTTGGTTAAAGACTACTTTCAAAACAGTCAGGTTTTGGTTAAAGACTACTTTCAAAACATTCAGGTCTTGGTAGAAGACGACTTTTTATACTAGTAGAAAATATGGGATTTTCTAGGAGTTTTCAAAACATATACAAACCATTACATTGAACGATTTCAAATGTTATCATCAAACTTATACGAACAATGACATTAAATACTTATGAACTCACCAGCTTAAATGCTGACCTACATTTTCAAAATAACTTGTATTCTCAGGTCACCAGTAGACAGGTATGATGACCAGGTTATGCGAAGACGGAGCAGTCAAGACTCGTCTTTTATTTTGATTAGTTATCATGTTGTCTTATTACTATGAAAGAACACACATGTATTAAACTATTACTATTAATGAAATAGACGATGTTATTGCTTGTTTACTACTTTACATTTATTGTGATACATTACATGACATCCTCCGCCCCAGAACGTTTCCGCCGTTCTCGGTTTTGGGGTGTGACAATTTGGTCGTTGTCGAATCTTCAAATCCAAACATCGTCGCCCTCTTATCGTCATTAACGAACATACTTGGTGGTACAAGCGAAGTCATTGTCGTTGGCGAATAGATCTAGCAGGGGGTCGAAGGTGGCGACTGTTAGGGTTTAGACTTGTTCCCCCCGTCGTCGTTAAGATCTAGTCTCATGAGAAGGTGATATGAATATGGTGGTGGTGGTTGTGGTAAAAAATTGATGGCGACGGAGAGAAACCAAGGTAGCGGTGGCCAGGGTTTGCCGAGGAAGATGGTGACGAAGATCTGAACTCCGAAGAAGGGTTTCTACGCCTTCCTTCGTCTTTCTAAACTTGTTTTCCAGGTCGTGGTGATGGTGGCGTTCTGATTCTATGTCATCTTCACCAAATCATTGGTCTTGTTCGAGTTTGTGTGTGTGTGTGTGTGTTTAATCTATGTATGTGTGTGTTTGTGTTAAATCTGTGGAAAAATTGATGGATGTTTGTGTTGATCAGTGTGTGTTCATCAGATTTCATGTGTGTTCATCAGATGTTTGTGTTGATATGTGTGTTCATCAGATTTCATGTGCGTGTTCATCTAATTTCGTGTGTGTATGCGTGTTCATCTGATCTATTTTGTGTGTTTTTATTCATCTGATATGATTTAGGTGGAGATGGAGGTGGCGGCTGTGGCGGTGGCGGACGGTGGTAGAACAATGATGGTGGTGTTAGACTTGTTCTTAAGTGTTCTTGAGAAAGAAGAAGATGTGTCTAGGATGGATAACATCACAGAGAGAAAGAGAGAGGTTGTAGGCCCAAATTAATTATTTATTTTCTTTTTCATTTAAATTAAATAAAAAAACATAAAAAATATATCAGAAAGGGCATTATAGTCATTTTAATTTTACGAGGGATCAAATTTACATACAAACATGGCCAAAAGGACCACGAATCAAAAAAAATCGGAGTTTGAACTAAAACCCCAAAAAAAATACATACCACAGGGACCATATTTGCAGTTTTGTCTACTAATAATGAATAAATTACAAAAAAAAAAAAAAAAAAAAAAAAAAAAAATAGTAGCAAATACAAAAATCCAATTATAAAAGATATTAGCAAAAAATATAACTATTTGATCGTCTAGCATTACTTTTAAAGATAGTGAAGACAAAAACAATTTTAAAACATTTGTCAAACTTTATTTACGCATGTTCAATAACAAATCGTAATATATAATATAATTTATTTATTTCAAGAACATGACTAATTTGTATTACCTAAAGCACATTAGAGAAATTGATTTTTGTGAAATCGAGTGCCTACAATCAAAGAACACAGGATGTGGCTTAAAAAATTGAAATTTACAGATAGAGATATTTTATAAGAGATTAATTTTGATAAAACAAGAATTTTTGAAAAATTACCTTGTAACTACAAGATATTCTTTTGTTTCTAACGCATAACTAACAAATTGAAGGTCTTTGGATCGAACAACAAATTGGAGGCCTTTGAATCAGCAGTAGTAGAGATGATTTGGAAGGCGGTCAATGGTGGAGATAGATCAAGGATAATCGGCTATTGTGTGAGGAAGAGAGGTCTGCGTCAAGAATCGGTTGTTGTGTGAGGAAGAAATGTCGATTTCCTTTGAGGCGTCGATGTCTAGGGTTTTAATATGTAAAAAAAACTGATCCCCTCAAAAAAGAGATATCAATGGTTAAATTTTGATATTAATTAATAGATATATGTAATATTACTAATTTACCCTTATTAATTTAATTAATGATTAAATTATTGTTAAATTCTCATTGGTCTATATATATATATATATATATATATATATATATATATATATATATATATATATATATATATATATATATATATTCACTAATCATTATAAACTTACAAACAAAACTTCTATATTTGTAAATTAATAATGTTTTTACAAATTTTTGATTAGTCACTACCATTGAAATTATCAAAAGTCTTTTTCTTTCTCAACTGTGCTGTCAATGGATTTTTTATGGATACTAATCCAGTCTACCCTAATAAATGAAAATGCTATTGCCACTTGTCATTCTCTCATTTATTTGGTCACATGTCATTTTATCATAATTTTAAAATATATTTATTTTCCATTTGTCAATTACTTCATTATTCATTTCCACTATATCATTAATTTAGTTTCCATAAATTAAATCTACTATAATAACTATTAATTTCAAATTTTAAATTTCAAATTTCAATTTCAAATAAATTTACACTTTAAACATTTGTATTTAACATTTTATTATAATAAATCGTTTAGTATACGGGTCTAACAATTAAACACATAACTTTAATTAATTAATTTTTTGCATGTTTTTTTTATTTTATAATTTTCACTTATTTGATATTTCAAATTCAAATAAACTTTTCATTTAATCGCTCATGTTTAACATTATGTTTTAATTAACCCGTATAATATACGGGTTTCACAACTAGTTTTGTTAATATAAGAATGAAGTTGTTTTTTTAAGACAATTTGTATATTGTTTGCTAGGGTAACAATTATAATAGGAATCCTATGAAGTGTGGTATCAGGCCCTTTTATGATTTATGATTTAATAATAATTGGAAAAGTTTAAAGTAAATGATTTTTTTGGTAAAATCATTTTTACAAAATAAAAAACCCTTTTCAATATCTAGTCCAAAGACTACGACATACCACATAGGCATTTTCGAGTTCTCGATCTTTTTTTTTTTTGGTATGAATTTAGGTTGAAATAAAGAGTGATTGGTCCATTTCATTTGGTGATGACTCGTTTACACTTTACACCTCCCCAAATGGGCTATGAATCCGGTTTACACAAACCATCTAGTAGCCCACATATCAAATGAAAACCGAACCCGGTTTGATATTTTCTTTCCCCTTCATTATCTCACTTCTCCCTCAAACTTTTGTGGATAACCCTCAGTCGGGCAACCATCAGAAAAGCTTCTCAGAGCCAAAACATTAGTACACCGGTTATAGTTGCAGATTAACTGTAGAATTTTTCAAAAACCCCACTCAGAAATGGCAATTTCATCATCTCTAGTCGCAACCTTGTTTCCATTATGCAATTCTTCCTCAATGTCTTCTACACCTAAGCTTTCCGCTTCACTTTTCATTCCAAATGGTTCATCGACCTCCAGGATTCAGTTCCAGTCACCTCGTTTATCTACAACCAGAGTCTTTGCAGCTCCTGAAGCTTTGGAACAAACCCTTCAGGTATGTTTCAATTCCACTGTTGTATTTGAATTTCCCAATGTTATCCTGTTTCTTTTGTCTGAATTGATGCGAGCTCGTTTCTGAATTTCGTTGATGTTGTTTTGCTAGACGGAGGATCCTGAATCTTCGACGGTGATTGTGGGGTCTGATTCCGAAAAGGTAATTTCTGCTGCTTATGGTTGTTCTTTTCTTTCATAGTAAAATTTCGGGAATTAGGGGTCTGAAGAAGAATGTAATTGGCCTTTTCACAATTGGTCTGGTTTAATCGATCACTCTTTAGGCTAATTTGTATTGAATTCCTGGTTAATGCTAGAAAGATGTGTATAAAATTGTAGATTAAAGCTTTTACAAACTCCTATTGTTCAGTTCATTTTAACATTTTCCATACATGGATTCCATTTGCATGATGTTTCGCAAATGCAATGTGAATGTGATCAAACTTATTTGATTCCATGAAAATGGAGAATCAAATATACCAAGAGAACATTAATTTTGTACATTTCAGATCAAGGTGCATACTTGCTTTCCCAAATCTGATAATTTATTCTTGTTTTTCAGCTTGCACCAAAACAGAAAATAAGGATTAAACTGAGGTCTTATTGGGTACCTTTAATCGAGGATTCATGCAAGCAAATCATGGATGCTGCTAGAACAACAAACGCAAAGACCATGGGCCCTGTTCCATTGCCAACCAAGAAGAGAATATACTGTGTGCTTAAATCTCCTCATGTTCACAAAGATGCAAGATTTCATTTTGAGATCAGAACCCATCAACGGTTGATTGACATTCTACACCCAACTGCACAAACCATTGACTCTTTGATGCAGCTTGATCTTCCAGCTGGTGTTGATGTTGAGGTTAAGCTTTAGAAACATATTTAGAGTTCCTTTTTGCTGCTAAGTGCTTCTAATTGACACTTTTTGTATCGTAAATTTGTTACTTGTATCAAAGGGATGATGTTTGGTAAAATATTTTGTTGGTTTGACTGAATTATTGTAAAATTCCCAAGTCACAATTATATTTTACCATGTGTTGTCATGTTTAAGTTTTTCGTGTTTGTCTGTATCTCTGCATTATATTTTAGTCATTAGCTCTAAAGGAACTACTAAAATCAAATCATTGATAAAACTACTTGTGATAATACTACCTAGTACCTATGATAGATCGAGCTACCATTCAATAGTTATTTCTTGATTTGATTTGCTGGTTTTTTTTTTCTTTTCATTTTGTTATATTAATACACATTCTGTAAGGAATATATGAGACCATTTTCTTAACAAGTGGTATCAAATCTCAAGACCGATGCGAGGTATCGGTTATAGAGCTTTATATTATGTTCTGTCGGGTGTGGATTATTGAGGTTAATATTATGATTTGTGGTTACAACTTGTTTTGATCTTCCACATCATAAATGAATATATATCGGTGTCTTAAAGGTTCATAGTTTGTTTTGTTTATGATACTAATATTCGAAGGAAGGTTTTGGTTAGGAAAGACTAAAGACTTGAAATTTATGTGTCTTAAGTGGCTCAACTCTTTTGCGTAAGAGCCATTTGTTAGGTGTATTACTTAAAGCTTGGTGCATATTTTTCTATTATAATGTGTAGTCCCAAATCTTCAACCAAATTTAAATTTTTTGAAATATATTTTAAACAACCAAAAAACCATCCTTTTGAAAGAAAACGTAAGTATCCAAAGGGTTTGAACGTCATAAAATACCTCAGAGTAAAACGAAAGTTTCAAACACATAATCATAACATAGACGTGAGTACAATCACGACGTCCCTTCCCCTTCTCACCAAAACAACCTAAAAACATTTTATAAACAAGGTGTAAATACAAAGTTTAGTGAGTTTCATAATATAACCCATCACATATACTTTACATATAAACTGCAAGCTTATACATTTATCATAACACCCCTATGCTTCCGGGCCTATAGACTTGTAGTCTAACACCATCCCGCCATCATCCACTCGGGCATGTAGGCATTCGTCATCATCGCATCAGACTTGTAGGCTTATGGCCTATCAACGTTCCACCATCATCATGGCATACCGATAGGCTCACGACCTATCGTCGTTCCACCATAATCTTACCAGACTTGTAGGCGCATGACTTATCGTCGTTCTAGTATAATCCTATCAGGCATGTACCCTCACGACCTATCTTCGTTGCACAATCATCCCATACGAATGTATATTATTTCATCATACGACCTTCCAACTAACACACCAAAGACTACTTTAGTATAACCACACATTTGTGCAATAACAATACACAAGTATCCTACCACAAAAATGACACCTAAGGTTACACATAATATAGTGAGAAAACCCACATAAAGCTAGCAACCTAAGTTTAACATGTAAGTCTCCTCAAATGAATCAACTAGAAAGTGCCACCTAATACCAAATAGAGGTCAATCGTCGGTCCAAAACTCATATCCGAAAAACTTTGACCAAAAGTCAACCCGTTCAAATGGTCAACACTCGACGGGCTGCGCATCATAGGGGATCATGTCGCGAAGATCGATGTGCCACAAAGTAGAACCTACAATTCTCGTCCACTACAATCCAAAATAGTTGAGATTTCTCCTTTCGCGACACGTCATGTTCGAGGGTTGGGGGGTGTCGCATCTCCTGGGTGATTCAACCACTTTGTTAAGTGAGTAATCCCTTACGTCAGGAGCTATAACTTTCCAGAAACCTTCTAGGGTAGGTTCTTAATAGATAAATTAAAATCGCCACTTTATCAACATGTAAGCCCCTAACATACCAAACACTAATTCTAGATCAAAAACAAATCCAAAGAGGCTAGGGCTTTCCTGCATGGATCAAAGAGAGCTTATACATGCAATCTTTTCACTACAAGTCCAAAAAAGTCACCAAAACATCCTACAAACCTAGAGTTTCCCAAACTCTATTGAGTACATAGCAAAAAAGGGACCAAAATGCATTAAAAATGGACCAAAACACTAGATCTAGATGCATATATAAATCATAAAGGTGGAAACTTTATCACTAATTGAGGTAGAGGATATGACCAGATGTGTGGAACTCTTTGGATCTAGCTTCCTTTGCACCCAGAACCCTTGCTTATTCTTTAAGTTTTCTTTCTAATAGAACCAATGCTACAAAGTAATGAAATGAGGCAAGGGTTTCAAGCATTGGTGCGCATCTAAATTGTTTTACTTCAAGGTTGGGTATTGTGAAGCTCATATGCGAGACCTTAAGTAAACTCAAATCACATATTAACAAATTCATTTTCGTTAAATATCCAAAAGAAATAGTGAGATGCTATTTCTATAATATCACCGAGGACAAAGTAGAACATGTAGAAATTCAAGAACCCAAAAATGAAACACATTCATATAGGACTAGAAAACATTTAAAATCAAGACAATTAGTTGTAGAATCTCCTCATAGGACACAAACCAAACATAGATCTGGTGGTAGTGTCTGAACAATCAAAGAGTTATGGATTTCTTGTTACAGATTAGGAGATCAAGAGATAAGGGGTCATTTTGAACATACAACATATATTGAGTTTGTAATAAAT